AAAGATAAATTACTTGTTATACATGATATTTATCTTCAACATTTAATATATTATATCCCCGTGTACTTGCATGATTTACGTGTACAATGTTTTTTGTTTCAGTTGGGAAGGTTATAAAATGATGTATAATATGCATGCTCTATTTTTTTCTTTTTTTTGTTGATTCATCGATTTTGTAGATTATTCTTAAAGATCTGGCATACAAAGTCTAAAAAAAAAAAGATTTGGCATACAAAAACAAACAGTTAGAATTGAAGGATAGAGACTTGATTTTTTCGTGTTGAATAGCTAATGTAATTGTGCTCTATTATTTAACAACATAGAGAAGCACTTCCTTGTTAAGTTATCTTAAAAATAAGTGTAGTTTTTTTTGTTTCTAATAAATAAAAAAATAAGAATAGATGTTATAGTATCGTCTGAAATGTGGCTAATTTATTTCAGCATAACTATATTGTTTTTGGGATTGATGTGATAGTTGCATGATTTACATGTACAATAGAGTAAAATGTANAATTTTTTTTGAAAAAGATATGATCGCCCTAAAATATAGGCTATATATATTAATTTCTCACAACAAATTAATTCAATTTTAAATATGTAATTTATTATTTGTTGTGCAGATTTTTTTTAGNATATTTTTGTAATTTCATATTTAATAAAGTGTATTTTTCAAAAAAAAAATAAAAAAGGTATTTTTCAAATTTAAAAAGCCAAAAAAGGTATTTTTTCAAATTTCCTCTTTTTTTTTTAAGTGAAAGAAGTTTGTGTATTAAAATGGTAACAAATTTTAGTTGGTGTATTTTTGTATAAAATGTTTGCTTTACAAAAATAGAAATTAACAAAATCTTACAGATACACAAGTTGTTCTAGAGATCCAATGGACTCAGGGATTTGACCACTGAAACTACATTCCACAAGGATCCTGGAAAATATAAATAGTTAGTTAAAAGACGAGATAAGCCTAGGATATAGTATAAACTTTTCTTGAGATTCAAAGATCTTGCTTACAAGTTCCTCAACTTCTTAAGGTCACCGATATTTGGTGGAAGTGGTCCGGACAATCCAACATTATATGACAAATCCCTACAAACATTAGACCATAAGATGAGAACAAAATCCATTTTTATGTAGAGGAAGACTAGTAAGAAGAAGGACATACAATATCTGTAGTTCAGATAGGAATGAAATATTTCCAGAAAGCTTTCCTTCCAAGTTAATGTTACCTAGTGATCTACAACAACACACCGTTAAATGACCATAGTGGATAACCATAAGAAACATAAACGAAATAAGTTTTTACATTGAAATGACGCGGCCGTTGCTACATGATATTCCAATCCAATTAGTTCCACAAGGATCAGAGCCTTCCCAACTCTCAGGAAACCTGCTCCATTCGTCCTTCAGGGCTTTTAAAGCAGAGGCTGTACCAGATTTAAACAATTCGAAAGAGTTTATAATTCTCTTATCTTAAAAAGCTTGACCATCATCTATTTATACTTACTGTCCAAATAATTCGTGAATGGAAAAACATAACAAATTTGGAAGAAAAGCAAGATCATGAGCATAAAGTCTCCGGTTCTTGAACTCATCTTTAGACCAACAAAGAATCTCTCTTTTCTTCTGCTGCTTTTGATTGTATCACAAAGAGACAAGGATGTGATTAAATGAACATGTTAACTACTTATGAGTTATGACTGAATTTCTGAATAAAAAATACAAATTGAGTGAAAAATTATATAAATGAAGAAAATATGGCACGGATCATGGGAAAACGTGGTCAACTTGAAACAGCTCATAATGAGATGGAAATGTCAATATTTTAAAGGGAAGGAACAAATTATGAACACATGATTGTCGTGATGCGAAACTTGAGTGGAACCTCTTTAGTGGGTCTAGTACTGTTGACTATGAAGATGTAATTGTTGTAGTAGTCACTTGTAGTAGTGACCTGTACCAGTCGTGGAGTACTACAAAAGGTTGTACGAGTGGACTGGCTGGGCTTAAAGCTTCGTGGGCTTGAGGGGTGTGCTGGGCCGAGCAAAGATAGACGTGACTTGATGTTCTAGCTGAGCTGGAGGCGAAACTTGAAGATCAAGGAGTTTAAAGATTTTTCCTAGTATCTTGCCAAAGAATCAGGAAAGAAGATATTGAGTGAAAATTTGAGTGAATCTAAACTTGGAGGCCAAGACTAGGTCTGGCCGTGTGCCTATTATGTATAAATAGGTTAGAGTTAATTTGGGGATAGGTTAACATAATTAGAGCTTATTTCTTAGCAAAAATGATTCAAGGTTGTCTAGCAAAAAGGAGATCTTGAATCAAAGGGCTAAGGGGTACAGAGTGGTTCACAAGATCGTGTGTGACTTGTGAACGTGTGAGGCTATGATTGAAGTGTGAGTGAACTTGTAAGTGCACAAGTCATTCAATCTAGTAAACGTTTTTGAGAAAAACCCCTTGTGTTGTGTTTAGTTCTTGTACTAGTATCTATAATAATCTATGTAGTAGTAGTTGATACATTTTCA